TCCTCCACTACCACATGTGAGCTAATTACCTCTCGGTCTCATAGTCTAGCACATGGTTTATATTATTATTGGTCTAATCTATGCAATTCTTTCTCAAGTTCATGCATAAATCACTAAATCAATTGAAAGGTGATCAAGCTCTCAATGCATTAAGTTCAATAATATAAACTCATCATGAAAATAACCAATAAATCTTGAATTAAATTAACAAAAACAGTCACATAGTCCAAAAATTAAAATCCATCCATCCCTAGTTCAAAGAAATCTAGCCACGCATATTCATGTTCTAAACAGCAATCATTCCGAAATCCCAGCAGACAATCATGGTAAAAATCGAGTTAAAGATCAGCAAAACCCGTCCCAATGGAGAACTACTGCTGCTGTCCAACCAAAGTCTGGCGGAGAAGAGAACAGAGGCTGGGCGTTGCGTTTGGGTCTCGATCCTCTACAAAATTTTCAAGAAGCAACCCAAAAAAATAAATAGATGTGCACAGCTTCCTTCTGCAAATCCAGTGGCTGTATTGTTCCTTCTGTGCAGAGCAGATTCGGGGCTTCCTTCCAATTAGGCTGGGCGGCTGCTTTTCCTCCAATGTGCAGAGCAATCTTGCGCGGCTATCTGGTTTCCCCAATTCTGCCGAGTAGCATATATATATATATATAAAGAAATTAGAAACCCTTATTTCTTTTAACCCTAGCAAACATGGGTTATGGGCTTTATTTTGGGTCTGGACTGCAGTTGGCCCACACCTAGAAAACACAGCCCAATTCTCTTTATTTCTGCACTATGTCCATTGTCAAAACCGTCCACTTCAACTTAAATTCTGTATTGATACAGAAGGAACTGGGTTGAGCTCATAAAACATCAATTGTAACTCTGTTTCTTAGCTTTCCAACGCCTAAAGAATCAACTCAATTCGATACCTAGAGAAAAAAAATATGGTTAAATTACTGCAGCATGTGCAAATTGTCACTTATTGCAAAATTAATTCCTATCTTAATTTACACCTACAAGTAATGAATTTAATATCAACAAAGGTGAAATTGAGTTACAAAGGACCCATAAAATTTAATTCTAGGCTCAAAAAGGGTAGATAAATGCATATAAAAATTAAACTCATCACCCGTGCATGGCAGTGCGGTGCCTGGCAGGCAACAACAACCAAGACCACCCTCTAACGATGCGGATACAATAAGAAAGGCCAATGTTTATCAATAGTATCACACCTTATCATATCGGAGGCCATGGATGTGGCTGACGTCCCCCTTCCATAAAGATAACGCCACCTCTTTCTATCACATATTCATCATTGTGGCGGAGTTTGGCTTAGTGAGATTTACCCCTTTGCGACTAGGTGGATTAGTGGG